TCACGGGGAGAAAGTGGAGAAGCAAAGTTAGAGACAAACATTAGAGTCTTGGTGGACATACTTAGAAGAGAAAGGGTGTTTGAGCAAAACGCACCAATCACTCAGGGATCATGGCCCGCATCTCTACACTGCAGCCTGGGGGTGCCCTCCCTCCTCCACACCCCACTGTGGGTCTGGATCCCTGGGAGCCCCAGAGGTCTCCCTTACAGGGAGCGTTCCCTCCTTCCTCCTCTAAATTCTTCTGCGGAACGGCTGAGGACAGGAAGGGGTTTAATTTTCCATCACTGCCCTTCTGCCTTAAGCCACAGGGTCCAGAGAAGACAGAGAGAGAGAGAGAGAGAGAGAGAGAGAGAGAGCAAGAGAGCGAGCGCTCTGGTGTTCATCTTCTACTCAAAATAGGAAAAAGCTTGGCTGATCTTCCCGAAATCCCTGTAACCCATCCCTTCCCTCGCTCTTCCTCCATCCCCTATCTAATGATGCTCGAATAAGGTCCAATCTGTCTTTTAAGGAATCTCTCTTGTAGTTCAATCCAATTCTGTTTGAAATACAAAGAAATCACACTGCCCTTAATAGATTAAAATTTAATAAAACACATTAGGTCCGGTAAAATATGAATGGACTGCTTAAAATTTTAATAGTAAGTTAGGACCCAGATACAGGGAGAAGGCAGTGAATTCACCCCCTCGGGATGGCTTCGGGCACAGGTTGGGGGTGACTACCGCCAGGACCCTGCTGCCCGGAAACCTCAGTGGAACCTCCAGCGGCGATTTTTCTCCCAAAGGGAGGCTGTTCGCATCTGTCCGCATCTGCCAGGGGACAGGAAACAAGCTATTGTCAAACAAAGAGGCTTGGCGAGAGGAAAGGCGCTCCTCTTGTAGTCAACACAGTTGATGCATTCCCCATCTCTCTGCTTTCAAAATATCACTTCGTTTCCCATTTATTCGGTAGATCTGTAAGTGCGCAGAGGTACAGGCGGGAACAGGGGCCTCGAGGGTATGTTTGAAAACCGAGGAAGCAGGTATTGGACTTGGGGCCACGTACTTCTACCCTCTGGGTTTGGTGCCAACTTTCCAGTTGTTGAGATGGCTCCTGCTCAGTGCTCCTGCTCCTGCTCACTGTGGGGTGTGGTGGTGGGGGGTGGTACTGGAGTCTTTTTTCGTCGGAGAGCAGCTTTTGCACTTGCTGGAGCACTTTGCAGTGGTGCCTGCGGGCAAACCGAAATGGGTTTTATTGATATCACTGCAAGGATGTTGGTATTCTGGACACTCCTGAAAGGAGAGGTTGCAAGATTGCAAGTCGTGGCGCTGAAGGAAGAATTCTATTTTCCCTCTAATGCAACACAATCACTGTTGTTCATTTTTCACTTTGAGTGGGAAAAGGAGAGGTCTAACTCTGTGTGAGTTGACTTTTTAAAAATGTATGTGTTTTCTAGGGGGAAAGAAATACAGGCAAATAAACTCTTGACTCGCTCTACAATTGCATAGTAATTTACCATAGCTTGATAATTAGAAAATAAGGGCTTTCCTTTTCTCCCCTCAGGAATTAGAGATATCACTGAGAAATATCTGAGAGAAATGAACAAAGTTATATTAATTTAATGATATATGAATTTTATCATCAGGGTAATATTCTCATGGGAGTTTCTTGCTTAAAATAGTTTTAGCCAATAAATTCCAATTCAGACAAAGTTTGTCCAGTCATTTCAACAGTGCACTCTTTATTTCATGAATTTATTATACTACCTTATTTACCATATGAAATGGTGACAAGTGTTTAGCATTTTGGAGATCAGTTGTCAGTTGCTATTAAAATCAAGATTAATTCATATTAACGATATGCATTTCTCAATACTCCCAGGTGACAACATACATTAAAACAACTATTGCAAGTAATTAAGCTCAATGAAGGGGGAGGGTACAGGGAGAGGTTCAAAACACCCCAAATATTTGATTTTGCAATTCAAGTTCAGCAGACTGTTGCCACAATAATGCTTAGGAAACTCCTCAGGGTTGCTTTTTACTTTACATCTAATTAGGCACCTAATGAAAGAGAAGAATTTTCCCCCCATGTGGTTTTCCTCCTTGATAGTCTTCTGCCTTTATTTAAACACATAAACACACTATTTAGGAGTTGCAATACCCAAAAGTTTCCTGTGTGACTCACTATAATCATCTAAGAGAACCATGTAGATGAGGAATTTGTCTTCCAATCATTTTCCTTCTCCACTCTAATAAACTTTGGCCCTTTGGCCTTTACAGAGTACTGATCTAAAACACACCCAAAATATTTTAATGGATTTTATTAGGCTTTTGAGATGCTCAACAGTTTATACTAATTAGACCATCCAAAGCCTTTTGAATAGTAAGCAAATTGGACAACCCTTGTTAATTAGAACATAATTTGAAGTTTGAAATTGTATCATTGATGAAGTGGTCTAATTAGTATGACGATGTGTTAATGGACCACTGAGATGCAGCAGCAGAGGAGTTTGGCATGAACCTCTATAAGGCTTGCATGAAAACTCTCCTTCCTCCAACAACATTAATAAAAGATTTCTATAGACTTCAGCCTTTCCACGATGACATACAATTTATAGCGCACACAATACATTAGCCCATAGTGCTGCTCAATTTTTTCACTATTATGAAAACTAATAAATTCGTCAAGCTGAATTAAGCATACAAATCAGATGAGGCATAGCAGATTACACAGTGAAGCGCGGTGTCTCCCGAGCCTAAATGAAATTTCAATCTAATAATTCCTTCCTGGCCCACTCATAATTTGTTTAGAGATGTTGTTCTACTTCTTTCAAAGCGCTATTCGCACAATAATTAAATGATGCTCAAGCTTTTAACTTTGATTTATTTCATTTCTTGGAGCTTGAGACAGTGAGAGCTGTACAATGTCATTTTTTTATTTCCTTGAAAATTGCCCTGATGTTGTTGAGGTAGAAATTAAACACCTAAACACTTGCTTGAACCGTTCGGCACAAGCCTCACTCATTCATGTCAACAGTCCTCTCTCCCAGGCTTCTTCTGGGTTCACATTTGGGAACATTGCTCGTAGATATCCCCTTGGGCTATTATTTATTATTTTTCTGCACACAGGGGAAGAGAGAGGCAAGCACAAGACTAACGAAAGAGAGCCGAAGGGGGTTAAGGACCATGGACAGAGCCTGCCGCGCACTCGTTGCTGCCGCTGTCTGCTCTCTAGGACAGCGCTCCCAACTTGAACGTGCCCTCCCGCCCTGCTGAGGTCAGGGATGGGAGCACAGGCGGCCCTCTGTCTGCGGCCGTCGCAGCAGGGGGCTTCCGCGTGCTGTCCACCGGAGGATCCCCCTTTCCCTCGCTCCTTCTCACTCTATTTTTGTCCCGGCTCGCGTCCCCGCCTCTCAGGCCTGCCGCCTGCTCTCGCACCTGCTCGCCTTCCCCAGGCGCCCAGTGTCTGCACCTGCTCCCGGTCATCCCCGTCCGAATCAGGCCACCCGCGGGTTCCTGGGTCCAGGTTGTTGAAGGCCTTCTCACCCTTTCCTGCACCCTGCTTCTTCAGCGTTCTGTGGAGAGGACAGCAGCCCCCAACCCGGTGGGAGGCCGAGAGAGGATGGGGGAGTGAAACAGAAGGATGGCGATGTTTGTGCATGAGCGTGTGCCTCTCTGAGTTTGTGTGTGTGCGCGTGTGTGTATACACACACGTAAGGAAGACTGCCTCCTTTTGCAAATGGAACTAAGGGCTTGCGCCCACTTCTAGGAAAAGTGGTCCGCCCTCCGACAAAAGTACGAGTCAAGTGTCGGCTAAAAATAGGCTCTCCCGGCGCTGAGCGGCTGTGGAAATGAAGATAAGTGGGGCTCGTGCCAGCCCCCGAGGGGGTGTGTGTACATTGGCGGGGGTGGGGTGGGGGGTTCAGCAGCACATGCGCTTTGTAATTTCTGGCCCTCCCTCTGCCTGTCAGTTGCCCCTTCTTTTGATTGCGGCTAATGAAGAATAATAAATCCAGTGGCAAGGTTTGCCAGTGGAGCCTCCCAAGACCCAACTCTCACTGTACTGGATACAAGGAGGAGGAGGAGGAAGATCGAGAGGAAGCAAAGTGGGGGGCGAGAGCTGGTGTGTGTGTGTGTGTGTGTGTGTGTGTGTTGTGTGGTGTTGTGTGTGTGTGTCTCGGAGGCGGCGGGGGGGGGGGGCGTGTGTGCGGGAGGGGGGAGTCGCATGCGCAGAGTCGACCCAAACGGGCTCAGGGGCCGTCCAATCCGCTGAGAGCTGCGAGAAATCGAGTGAGAGAAAGCCCCGCAGCCCCGCCGACCCCATGTCTCTTCGGCACCCGGCACGCACCCGCCAGGCCGAGGGGGCGCGGGGCCGAGTGCGGACCTCAGCGCGCATCAGGGCTGGAGGCCCCGCGGAGCTGAGGACTCAGGTTGGCGGTAGCATCAGTGTCTACAGAGGGGGCCAGGAGCCCGGGACCAGGGTCACCTGAGCTGACGGGAGGGGAGGGCTGATTGGGGTGGAGGCCTGGAATTTAGTGGTAAGCAGCAGGCGGGGGAGGAGGCAACCAGGTAAGAGGTGGTCCGATTAGTCCTGGGGAAAACCTATCCAAGGCTGGCTTGGGCCGCAACTTTATTTGGGAGTTTCTTTTCCTGGCTAGGCGGAGACCGCGTAGCGCGGGAGGGGCTGGAGGCCAGCCCTTAGGTAGGCACCGCCTGGCCGCTGAAGCGTGGACCCGGCCGGCTGGGTGGGGTTGAGCAGGGTCACGGACCCAAGTAGGGGCCGCGGGCGCCACGAAGGGGCGGCGGCGGCGGAGCGCCAGAGGGGGCAGGAAGGGGAGGCGGAGGGCGCGGTGGGGGAGCGGGAGGCGGGTGCCGGGAGAACTGAAAGGACCTGAGCCTTGGGGGGAGCCGAGAGGGAGAAGGGGCGCCGCGAGAAACGGAGCCAGGCAGGGGAGGGCGGAGGCGCGGGGGAGGGCGGGCGGGCGGGCGGGGGCGCGGGGGCAGGCGCGAGGAGAGGGGAGTATAACTTGGCGGCCCCGACGAGCGGGGGGCACTTTCCGGCGGCGCCGAGGTCTGCAGCCAGCGCCGAACGGAGCTCGGCGTGCGCTCCGAGTTGTCAGTGGAGGCAGCGGGTGCAGCACCGACCGGGCGCGCGGAGAGCTGAGCCGGGGAGGCGGCGGCAAAGGGTGAGCGCAACTTCGTAGCGCCCTTTCCCGCTCCGGCTCCGGCCCGGCGCTTCTCGGGAGGGTCCCGGCGGCCGGAGCCAGAGAGCGCGCTGCGGACGGGCGCCCCGGCGGGCAGGAAGATGATGATGATGTCCCTGAACAGCAAGCAGGCGTTCAACATGCCGCACGGCGGCAGCCTGCACGTGGAGCCCAAGTACTCGGCCCTGCACAGCGCCTCGCCCGGCGCCTCGGCGCCCGCGGCTCCCTCCGCGAGCTCCCCCGGCAGCTCGACCAATGCTGGCGGCGGCGGAGGCGGCGGTGGCGGCGGCGGCGGCGGCGGCGGAGGCCGGAGCAGCAGCTCCAGTAGCAGTGGCAGCAGCGGTGGCGGCGGCGGCGGGGGCTCGGAGGCGATGCGGAGAGCTTGTCTTCCAACCCCACCGGTGCGTATTTCTGCATAATCACCGCTTAAAGGCACATTTTGACAGCCCCCTTTATCTGCTTGATGTTTTTTTCATGTCTGCACAGCAAATCACCCCACACCTCCAACCAATTTTCCCCCCTCTCTCTCTCTTAAGTATTCAGCGGGTCTTGCCTTTCATATTAATTTTTATGACCTGGGATGTTGCCTGTGCGCGTGTTGTGCCATGTTGTGTTGTGTTGTGTCTGCAGCCTCACTTGCCACCTCCTGCGTTCTCCGCTTCTGTCGGTGGCTCCGCTCCACTCCTCTTCACCTCCTGTTTGCAGGATCGTTACTATTACTATTAGTATTATTATTTTAACGTTCTGGGAATGTTGTAGGCGCGGCGGCGGTGTGGAGCTCTGGGCCGGGGCTTCCGGAGAGAGCGCGCACAATTCCCTGCTGAGCGTAATGTGTGCCTTCTACTTGCAATTGCAGAGCAATATATTCGGCGGGCTGGATGAGAGTCTGCTGGCCCGCGCCGAGGCTCTGGCGGCCGTGGATATCGTCTCCCAGAGCAAGAGCCACCACCACCATCCGCCCCACCACAGTCCCTTCAAGCCGGACGCCACCTACCACACCATGAACACCATCCCGTGCACGTCGGCCGCCTCCTCTTCGTCTGTGCCCATCTCGCACCCGTCCGCCCTGGCGGGCACGCACCACCACCACCACCACCACCACCATCATCACCACCAGCCGCACCAGGCGCTTGAGGGCGAGCTGCTGGAGCACCTGAGTCCCGGGCTGGCCCTGGGCGCCATGGCGGGCCCCGACGGCGCCGTGGTGTCCACGCCGGCTCACGCGCCGCATATGGCCACCATGAACCCCATGCACCAAGCGGCACTCAGCATGGCACACGCGCACGGGCTGCCCTCGCACATGGGCTGCATGAGCGACGTGGACGCCGACCCGCGGGACCTGGAGGCGTTCGCTGAACGCTTCAAGCAGCGACGCATCAAGCTGGGGGTGACCCAGGCGGATGTAGGCTCCGCGCTGGCCAACCTCAAGATCCCCGGCGTGGGCTCGCTTAGCCAGAGCACCATCTGCAGGTTCGAGTCCCTCACGCTGTCACACAACAACATGATCGCGCTCAAACCCATCCTGCAGGCGTGGCTGGAAGAGGCGGAGAAGTCCCACCGCGAGAAGCTCACTAAGCCGGAGCTCTTCAACGGCGCGGAGAAGAAGCGCAAACGCACGTCCATCGCGGCTCCGGAGAAGCGCTCCCTTGAAGCCTACTTCGCCATCCAGCCGCGGCCCTCCTCGGAGAAGATCGCCGCCATCGCAGAGAAGCTGGACCTTAAGAAAAACGTGGTGCGCGTCTGGTTCTGCAACCAGAGGCAGAAACAGAAAAGAATGAAATATTCCGCCGGCATTTAGGAGACTCTCGGCCTCTCCAGGGACGGCCCCTCGCCTCGTCCCGTTTCTCCCTCCCTTTCTCTCCTGCCTCTTTCTTTCCACCTTTGGAGACCAGGAACAATTCGGTTAAAAAAATGTGAATCTAGAGACAGAGAGGATGAAAGAGGGTGCGAACGACGAGAAAGCAACTGACCCCACACCGGCGAGAACGGGAAAAGGTTGCTCAAGGCAGCGAAAAACAAGAGATGGGATTTGTCAAAGTTGTAGCAAGTTGTCCCTTTTAACCCCACCGCGGCTTCTTCAGAGCAAACGAGGAGCCTGCTGTTTGAAGGAAGGCAGATGAGAGACAGCCTTCTCAAGGTCCGCAAGAACGACCAAGTAAGATTTGTTTTTATTCTTACAGACATCACACTTGTTAAGTTTAAAAGTACACTTTGCAGCTATTTTTCAGAAATAGAAACGGATTCAGGACTGAAACTTTAAGCTAGAGTTGAAGCTTAATGTGATAGACATCTCTAAAGTATTTTGAATTAAAAAAAAAAAGATGGCAGATTTTCTGCATTTACACTGTATATTATATATATATTTTTATTGTGGTTCTTACCCCCTTCTTCCTTCTCTGAAGTGTTAATGCTTAAGAAAGAAGTCGCGCCTGCTGTGTTCACTGATCTTAAAAGCTATTATTAGATTATTGCCGAACAACCCTCTGTAAATTATTAATTTATCTCTCTAGCAACTTAATTTTGTGCACATCCTAATTAATTAAACTTAGTTTTAAAAAGACGGGGGAAACGTATAGCTAGTGATGTTCAAAAGATTTTGTTTGATGAGTTTACTGAATTTTTACAGCTTTTCTCTTATGCCGTGTTCCGTTTGGCCCATTTGTATATTCTCACTTTGAATGAAGATTGTTTTTTCTTTGTTTTTACTGCTAGTGTTCTGATTTGTAAGTCAACACTCAGTAATGAAGGTCTTAATCATCTAGACCTGATTCACTGTCCGAAGTATTGTTTACTTCGTTACATATTTAATGGGGATTCCCACATTGTCCCCTCTGTCTCACCCCTACATATACACCCACACACGCGCGCACACACACACATCTGTCTCTAACAGATGAGAAAAAGCAGTTGGAAGCATGACTGATGCATCCTTTCCTAGCTTTAGGGGCATTTGTCACTTGGTGTTTGCCCTTCCAGATTCCAAGATTTCACCAAGGCATCTCAATCTTCCAGTTTGCAATTGCTTTGTTGATTGCATTTAACATTGATAGGAGCCCTTCAGTTTTTCCTTTTGGAGGTTTGTTTGTAGAAAAACTAATTTGAACTATATGAAAGACAGTGCACTGCTAGTAAATTCACATTGTTTGGTAGAATTCTTTTGGAACAAAAAAATAGGTATGTGATGACTGATACCTTGTCTATTGTAAATATTTCATTCAAAATGCACATATAGATATATTCTTACAAATTTTGCTGTATTGCTGTTCCATTTGAGGCTCTCTAAAGTCTTGAGTTCTGTATATGATCTGCTTTCTTGTTTTTGTTAATAGATGGTTTATTTACTATGGTAATGTATTAAGTTATTTTTGGTGTTGTTTGATTGTCTTTCATTGAAGAGATGATTTTAATGTTTTATTGGCAAAGTATGCTGCTTTTTTCATTAAAATATTCTATTAATATTAAATGGCTTTTAAAATGTGATGCTGCTTTAATCATTTATGTGGGAATTTTTTTGGTGGGGGATTTTTTTAAAAGCTGGAAGCACATGGTGATGGTTTATTGGGAGTGGTTAGTATTAAAGTATTGCTTGGACTTAGTAGGAGTATTACTCTGGGAAAGTGTAAAAGAACAGGGTCTATAACAGCCTTTTAATAGCCAGAGCTTGTCTCACAAGCTGCTTTGCTTTTCTGCCCAGAAAGAATAATGATATTTGACTCCAAATACTTCTCTTGAATTCCTTTCTCCACATCTGCAATGGAAAAAAATATCTTTGTACACAGAGATATTGGATGAAAACAATTTCACCCATTCTCTTCCATCTCTCATGGGTAAAAGGCAGAAAGGAACTCAGCTCACTTTTCAGTAGCCCTGAGATACCGGGTGTGGCAAGAGACAAGGCCTGGTTAGGGAAGTTGTGCTCCTGGTTGAGGCCCAGAGGTGGTCCATCATAGTTCCCATTTTAATCACTTGTCCCAGAGAGCAGTGACCGAAACCACCAAGCCACAACAGGAAGCACTTTTCTTTTTTTGCTAGAATTATGAAGTATAGTCTCTGGCTGTCTCTCTCTCCCTTTCTCTCCCCTGTGTCAACCTTTAATGAAGACATATTTCCCTAATAGGTAGTCTATGGTTCAGAAAGAAATAAATACTGGTGGCTAGAAGGAGCAAACTTTTTCTTCTATTGTGACTTGCCCTGACACCAGAGTTGGTGGAAAACTAACACTGACTTGACACTGGCATAAGGAAATTCTGCCCACTTGATACAGGCAATTTCTATTTCTGATCCTGGTTTAAAGACTCCTCTTCACTCATTTTAATAACGTTTAGCTTCCCTATAACAATTGAGCATCGAATTAGGCTGATAAAGTTTTTTTTTCCCAGTAAACTTCTGGTTTAGACATCAATTTGATTAGCTTATACTATTAATTGATGCAAGGACATCTTGCTAATCTGTACATAAAATAAAGAGAAGAAACACAATCATCTTCCAGGGCTAATTCTACCACCCAGAGATGTGACTCCTCTGATATGAAACTGTCTTGGGGAAATGAGGGTAAGAATGAATCAATTAAAATAGTTATAGTGGCTCAAATTAGGATTAAATGCTGTTGGAAAACTAATTTCCAATTGTAACAGAAAGAAGTTTGAATATTGGATAGATAATGAGTAAAGGAATCTCTTTTTCTATAACCAAAGTCAGAATATGTCTGAAGAAATAATATTCAAGTGTCCATCTAGAAATGAGATACAGTGCACAATTGCCTATGAAAATGTTGAAACACGTAGAGCGTTAAAAGACAGAAATGTGAATTCAGGTATAGTGATTTTATAGCTCAATTTTATTTCTATGTTTTGGAGGCTGAAATTTCATTCTTCCATTTCCTTCCCTATTCTTGGATTCATATTTTCTGAAAGTATTTTGAAAGAACCAGTACCCAATGTCAATATGCAGAGTACAGATTTCAGCACCATGGACAGTAACCACCAGTGGCTTTAGCGCTCATTCAACACATATTTGACCACATAATTGTAGCCAGCTGGAGAATTTTCTGCTTGCTTACTTTTTACAGAGTGAATAAAATGAATGAAATGGCTCAAAAGTATGACATATCAGGTCTGGTGATCTAGAAAAAAATGATTTTCAGTAAATAGTACCTTCCCTTACCTATATGTGAGTTATTATTGAAGGAACCACTGAGAGAAAGGGAGTCAGTTAAAGAGAAAAAAGGATAGGTATGCTGGTATTTTATTTCTACAAAAATGGCACCTTAAACTGAAGAAAGAAATCCGGGAAAAGCAGTAAAAATATAGAAATATACTGAAGAGAAACAAAATAGGTGTTTATTCTTTTTGGAACATCTTGAAATGCATGACAACTTGCATGTATGCATGCATGTCCAAGATTCTCATGAGGAAGTGATATAAAAACAACTAAACCTTTAGTTCCACACATGAAACTGAAAACTTATACTTCCTTCTAATTCACTAAGTATTCTTTGTTCTTGGGCTTTTAAAACTATATAGCATTTTTAATTCATCTCTGTGTTACTACAAAGACTTTAAAAACTTTCTTGGTTACATGTTTCCATTCTTAGAGAATGCTTATATGCATGCCTTATGGGAAAACCAGAGTTTCAAAAAGAAATATTAAAGTTTTAATTAATGAGAGTAGCAGAGCCTCACCAAACCAACATGACATGGAGAGAAGAGAGTTTATCTTAATGAAGAAATTAAAGGTAAGAATAGAATGAGCCATACATAACTTACTGAGAAATATGCAGTTGATGTTGGCTTTCAAAATACTCAGTGGCAAACATGTCTGAAAATCTGTGTCATATCAATCAAATTGATTAACATTCATGATCTTATTTTTCCCTCAAAGTCCATAATTGATGTTTTATTGGAAAGAGATATACTGTGAATAGAAGCTCACCTATTCATCCTAAATGTTATGTTTCAGAACTATGTAGTTTAGTTTGTAAAAAACTTCCCTACAAGCAAACAACCTTTTGTTCAATGCTATCCTCTAAATCCAAATTGAAATAGAGTTAAGTCACCAACAGAAAAGAACATATAAGCTGTGGATTGATATTTAATTACTCTCTATACCAAAACATTATCAAATCATCCAGAAAGAATACAATTTCTTTTGGATATTCAACAATAGAGCAGTTAGTCAATTCTTCATCAGATTCAGTTTCATTAACACATAGTTTGGGAGGGGTAATGAACATATGAAAAAGCAAATTAAGCAGTCAGTATTTACACACAATGGAATACTCTCATAAATGACAACACATAGCTAAGTCTTTTTCACAATCCATTTCAGATCCTGTGACTTCTTTTTGCCAAGAGAATTGGAATTTGGGGAATAAAATGCTTTGTTTCAAACTTCAAGTAAATTAATTTAATTTATTTTGATTTATCTATTGAGGAAGCTCTTTGGGAGACAGTGGCAAAGGCATTGAAAATTCACTTGATTTTATAATGAATATTTTTCAGAGAATGAAGCTCAAATTTTCCTAGACAAGCCATGACAGCAAGTTTAGAAATTTATCTTTCCTTTTTCTGGCAAAAACAATTTCTATCTCAAGGTAAAGGATATGCATACATACAACTCCAAACTGTACATTTTAGTTGGCCCTGGAGGGAGAGGTTACAACTAAAGGGAATGAAAAAGTTGGGTTTGTATTCTGATAGGACAAAAAGGAAGACAAAGGTTTCCACACAGTTACGATGTTCATGAAGTCTACGTTTGTCAGGAGACAGATTTATGGCAATGAGAAAAAAATTGCTAAATTTCCCCTGCTTTGCCCCTTTAAAGGAGCCATTCCCAGTCCTGAAAGTCTATTATGAGCGAATTAATAAATTACACAGCGAATTATTAAATCCAGATAATTACAAGGAATAAGTAAGTAATCATTAGTTATCTCAGCTAATTACTGTGGGTCAGAGCCAGCCGGAATGCGAAATCCTCCGCGGGAATTGAAATTAACTTTGCACAGTGAGTCTCTCTGCTTGACATCCCCAGTCTGTAGGCACATGGCAGCTCCCCTGTGAGCCAGTCTTTCTATTTAACTTGGAGAGAATAGAAATAAAATTAAGTGGCAATGTGATAATAGGAAGCTACTCAGAAAGCAAACTGTGAGTTTTATTCTGTATTTTCAATGCCTGGGGATGAAAAGGTTTATTTACACCAGTCTCAAAAAAAAAAAAATAAAAAATAAAAAATAAAAACAACATAAGGCACCCTTGTTGAGATGTTGAGATGGGCTTCCTAATACACACCACACACACATACACACACACACACACACACACTTGACTGGTGTGACAGATTAGCAGCCCACGAAGAAGGCTCAAGAACAAACAGTTTGCACATCTCACACAAATGGGTGGTGGGGGTGGTGGTGAGCAGTCAAAAAGAAAAAAAGGAAATGAAAATATTGCTCTTTGCTTTCATCCTGCACAGTGGAAAGGCTGTCGAAAAGTGCAACCTGGTCTAATAATCTGTTTGTTTTGCTTGGGTAACAATATGCTTTCATCTTGCCACAGGAAGAACCAGCTTAGTGCAAGTGTTGTCTCTGGTTGATCTTTTGCCAGATGCTTCAAGAACTGATGTCACTCTCTTTCTCATACAGCATCACTTTGTGAAGCCAGCCTCTCCTGCCCTCTCTCCCTTCACCGTTACCAATCCCCCAGGCCTTCTCAAAGGGCAGAGAAGAGGGCAAAACCTGGTGCCTGTTGGAAAGTAGGAAATGTATCTGTGTGATAATGTGATCGTGTGTATCACAGGGCTGAGAAAGCCTGGACATACCAAGAAAACTGCTGTTAATGTATTAAAATGAGGCGGGAGGGGGAGGAATCTAAGAGCTTTTTTTTTTTTTTATCAATTGCAATTAGATGGACAGTCTTTCCGCTCATTCCCTGCTCTAGTCTGGGATGATAATAAAAATTTAATGAAGCCTGGGACGAGCAGAGAGCTCTGTCTAGGGACCATGGAATAGAATATTTTAACTGTACATTTATACCAACTGTCTGGCTTCAAAGACGTGACTGCTTTTAATCTCGAATTAGAAAACCACAGACTTGAAATTAAATATTAGATACCCTCGGATCCCCGTCCTTTCTGAAATATTGTCACGACTCTGTTTTCCTTCCATTGCCCCGTAATACACGTATCTCAGGTCTCCAATTACATTTCTGTGAATAATAGATGGCTTTGATAGGGAGCAGTATTCTGGTGCTTTTGTTGTTTTTTTTTTTTTTTCTTTTAAATAGAGTTAATGCAATATTAATTGGCTGTAGATGTTATAAGAATGCGCAGCCCCCTTTTCAGGAACAAATCGATGAGGCAGGGATCAGGAGAGAGCGAAGGCGAAGGCTCTTCCCAGCCTGGGTCACTTCTTGGCGGAGGGGACCTCCTCAGAGCACTGGGTAAGTGAAGAGGCGCCTTGAGTTCTGCAGTTCTGGCTGATCTGG